AGCGGCGCGTCAGAAGTTGCGGAGTCCCCATGGTTTCCGGTGACCAAAAAAACACATTCGTACGCCATTCGATCAGTTTTGGATTCTGGAGCCTATGTACACACACCATACGTTTGGAAACAGACAACATCCTCAGGCAGTGAATAGGATTTACCTAGCAGAAGAAGGCTATGAACGCTTGGCTACATGAGAAGTTACCATTTCAACCGATGTAAATTCACATATGGATATGACAAATAACAAAGAGTGAGTGCAACTGCACTTTTCATTGAGAACGAGTATATTGAGCCAACGATATAACCAATTCTCTCTAGTCTTCACGAGAGAGCCAGGCAGGCTTTAGACCAGGAAGGGGGTATATTGATCATGTATTCACCCTCCGATAGATACTAGAACATAGGCATTCCCACCGGCGTCCAACAATCATTATATTTCTTGACCTAAAGGCGGAATTCGATTATGTCTATCGAGAGGTTCTCTGGAGATGCTTAGCTGTAAAGGGAATTCCGAGAAAATATATTGCACTGATTAAGGCACTCTACTCGTACTCATACAGCCAGGTGAGGGCTTACGGAGAGCTGTCATCTGAACTGATGACGACCAGTGGTGTCCGTCAAGGATGCCCATTATCCCCTTTTCAATTCAACTTCATCATAGATGTACTAATGGACTTAACCCTAAGTGACTTCAGCGGCTAAGGGGTTGACTTACTACCAGGGAATAATCTCGTTGACTTAGAATATGCTGACGATATAGTCCTTCTAGGCGAAAACGCTGACGAAATGCAGAGTCTTCTAAACACCTGGAGCAGTAGCAATCTACGAATGTTTGGCATGCGATTCGCTCCCGCCAAATGCAAGATGATTTTACAGGACTGGACTACATCGACTCCTAGTTTAAAAATAGGAAGTGAAGTGGTAGAGCACGTTGACCGCTTCACTTACTTGGGAAGTACCATCAGCCGGTGCCAACGGGTTGATCTCTGACGAAATCTCAGCACGAATACAGGGGGCTCGTTTCGCGTTTGCCAGTTTACGCCGTCTCTGGAGTAGACGAGATATTCGACTATCAACCGAAGGGTGGGTGTACCGCTCATCAGTCCTCTCCGTCCTCCTTTATGGCTGTGAGTGAGACCTGGCCATTGAGAGTGGAAGACATGAAAAGACTAGCTGTCGTCTTTGATCATAGGTGCCTGCGTTCTGTCTCCAGTGTGAAATAGTATAATAAGGTGAGCTATATTGAGGTTAGGCATCAGTCGAGTTCTAGTTGGTAAGGAGGGGAAATAAATTGACGAGGCTGTGAAGTTACATCGACCGAGATGTTTAGGACATGTGTTACGTATGCCTAGTCATCGCCTTCCTCGACAATGGGCAATGTTAGTGGATATAGGGTCAGGCTGGAAAAAAGCTAGTGGAGGTCAAACAAAAACATGGCATGACCACTCAATGAAATCTAATAATAATAATAATAATAATAATAATAATAATAATAATAACAGCTTTATTCCAAACAGTATTTGTGGTACAGGTATGGAATTTTCAGCGTGCATTACAGTATATTGCATCTAATTACCTCATAAATTATATAAGATTTTTAAAAATCAAAGATAAATAAATAAAAATAAAATAAATAAGTTATAAATAAATAAAATAAATAAATATTAAAAATTAAGAAAAAAAAACAACGTAGAGTATTTCATTTCAAACAATGCAACACAGGATTTGAAATATAAAGTTGATGTGTGGTACTAGATGAGAACAACAGTGTGATAGTAACGAGGAAAGGAAAACAAAAACTAATGGGACTATTTGTTAGAGTGCCGCAGTAAGTTTATCGTGTCATACCTAACGGATTTCTCATCACATAACAGCTGTGCCAGATATGGTATTGTGGAGTTTTTGTATTTGGTAGTCCTAGCATATAGCCTCCTGTAGCTGCTTCTAGTTCTTCCAGATGAAATGCAAGGAGATAGATGCGTATAGAGAAGATGCTTGGGGTCCGACAATATTGTATTCGCTAGTTTCTTACATGACATAATATGTCTATCTACAATAGTGTTCACCAGTTGGTTTAACGATAACCCACTTGCCCTACTAACAGCTTTTAGTGCCCTTCTCAGCGAAGCAAAGTCTTTCTTAAGTAGTCCAGGAAAGACTAATGGGGAGCAGTAAAGGAGGATGGGTAGAATACAAGAATTTACAAACTGAGAAAGTAAAGACTGGTTTATGCCAGACTGCCTAAATTTCCTAATGTAGAACGTTAAGCGAAACATCTTTCTAGTAACTAGCAAGATGTGGGAAGACCAGGAAAGATCGGTGGAAAAACTCAGCCCAAGGTACTTAACATAAGATGTATTTTCAACCTCTGTGTCGTCAATGAGAGTGGGGCCATGTGAGCTAACTAGTTGCTGTAGGTCACATTTACGTCTGAAAGTGAAATTGACTACCTGACATTTAGACGGATTAAGCTTGAGTCCGTTTGAAGAGGACCACTGACTAATTTCCGACAGAAAGCTATTTAATTTGGAACAATCTGACTGAGAGTTGATAGGCATAGAAACCGAGAGGTCATCGGCATATTTAACAAAAGTGGCTACATCAGAATGAGGCAAGTCATGTAAGAAAAACGAGAACAGAAAGGGAGAAAGAACAGCACCTTGAGGAACACCAGCTAAAGTAAGTGAGGTAGTGGAGGATTTTCCATTGTAGACGGTGTACTGTCTACAACAGTTAGTCTAAGTCAGTCACGTAGGAAGGTGTAGACTAGCTTCCTGGTTGGGGTCCTCTGGACGGTAAAAATCAATGGTTGGAAACAATTGGTTACATGGCTCAAAATCGTTCTCAATGCATAGCGAAGATGCATCCACTGCTTGTGACTTATAATTTCCAATGAAACTGTTTTGTTCTTCGTTATTACTATTCCTCTGTCTCACACCTCTGCTTACTGTCTCTATTATGCTTTTCTTATACTTTCTTCTCTTGCTTTGTGTGCTACATGGAGGGTTGTGTGGCGACTTGAAGTTCCGCACATATGTGCAAAGTTCTATGTCGAAAACAGACTGACAGACAGTCTTCATTGGTTCTTACCATCTCAAGGACCCTAACCATTGGGGAAGTCTACACCCCCGTACCTGGCTAGTCAGCCTAAACTAATTATTATGGACTTTACTGGCTGATGAAGCTACGTTTTGGTTTGACCACCACTAGCTTTCTCTTTTCCAAACTGATCCAAGATCAACTAACATATATTAGAGTGGAGCTAGAGATCAAGATCTACTTGAAAAGTAAGTATATTTGCTCGCTCAATCCTTCTGCTTTTTAAGTGGGGATTTCCTCTATAAAATAAGCTAAACGACAATGTATAGTGTAAGTATTTGTCTTCGGAATCGAATCGATCAACATAGACAGAACTTCTATTATACTACGTGACTAACAGTCAATTATTTTTTTTATTTTTTTTATTTTTTATTTTTGATTTACAGCTTGATTCCACACCGTATTTTTGGTACAAGTATGGAATTTTCAGCATGGATATCGGTAGCCCAAATTTTCCAGGCCGACCATAGATATCAGGTGTGCGTCGGCGTGGGCTCGAACCCCGGACGATGTGCATGGTCGGCGAGAGTCCTAACCACTGTGCCACCGACGCACTAGTATAAAAAACTAGTATAAATCCATAGAAATATTTCATTCCAACAATTGTAGTCATATTTTTTCAAGGAAGACTTGTAATATTATTGTGTACATGATTAAGACTCGACTGACTGCCTACTGCCTACTATCCCCCGTGCATATTCCTGATCGTGATATACTTGGGATCATACGACAAGTTCTGAGTAAAAGGGTGACAGAAAACCGTTGCACCGACAAGCAGACCCTTAGGAGATCTGGACTTTCGTAGACGTTTGATGTCACAAAAAACCTGGAAGATTTACAGGCAGAAAAAATTAACAAGTTGGTAGAAGAGACAGACAGACAACAGCGAGGACATGAGAACTTCAAGTGAACACAGAGGAGACACACAAGTGGATGGAGATCCCCATCGACTAATCCGACAAGCACCAATCACTGTCAACAGTAAAATTCGGAGGAAAAAATCAATTCTTTCTCCACCTATTAAGGCACAATTGAAGATATCAAAGCCAAGATCGGAAATCTACCGCAGCACTCAGTATAAAAGTACAAGATTCGAATTTTCAACACTAATGTTAATTAAGCTCATCAGTGCTTCTGTATGAGACTGAGAGACCCTGTTGAACGCTCCAACAAAAGCATTTCAAACAGATACACCTCAGAGACTTTTATTAACAGCTACTGAAGATCAAATGACCACCAACCAAAAAAGACTAACAACAAGGAACTAATTGTGGGAGCAAACCAACCAAGAACTCATAGCCGAAAAAATAAATATACTAAAGGAAATGAGGATGGATGGGACACACGCTGATGAGGCCACTGAGTCCATCTATCAGGGGTCAGCCCAGCCCACGAGTAGAACCTGAATGAGCCATTTTTTATGATGTTTTTCTGGTTTGAAGGTGGCTAGAGCCACAGAATGTGAAATCCATTAGGATAGCGTAATTCATCCTTCTTTGAAATTTGTCTTCACTTGGATGTACTTGCATCTACTAGTGAGTGAGTGAGTGAGTGAGTGAGTGAGTGAGGGTCCATATCCAGCACCCATTGTTTTAAACACCAAAGCATCGTTCTTCACTGTGCATATCAATAGTCATCGACAGCATTGCAGCTGGAGAAGAATCTATCAACAGAATATACAGAATAAATCGTCAGCAATCACTTGATGTGGTGCAGTGGAATGCCCACCACCAGCCACACACACACACACAAGCACATGGTCCGAGTTCGATTCTCAGTCGACATATACCCTTAAATCACGCCTAGCCGATAGGAGTGTAGCAGTAGTGTCAGCTTGGAGAAGAAAGAAGGTTAAGTTAAGCATTTGAAGGATATACATTAACCACAAGAAAAAAAATCACTAACCTCTGGAAAATCACGTAACACCTCTGACATTTCATTTCCACGTTCACCACAACCAACGTAGACGATAATATCAGAATTTGAGTATTTTGATAATGACTGAGATATGACTGTTTTCCCGCAACCAAAGGCACCTGGTATAGCTGTTGTACCACCTTGAACACATCTGTATAGAGAAGAGAGATTGAAAAGGACGATTAAAACAACCAACTGAATGTAATGATTATAATTATTGTTCCCTTGGGTTCCAAGTCGAACACAGGGGTTCCACCTCCATTTCATCCTGTTTACTGAGGTTATCTTTAGCTAGCTCATAAGCCTTTACCTACTACTCTTCAGGTGATCGCCTCCATACCACCGTCAGAGAAACTCCCACTCGAGAGCTACTCATCAGCCCCTGCCTAGTGTATGATGTCATTCAACGGTCTCCTTCTCTAGAGAGTATCCGAGTAGTAGTAGTAGTATCTCAGTCCTCTTACAAACGATGAAGTTTTGTCCACGGCATCTCTTGGTGCCTAAAATGTACCAGGTTTGCGCTTTGATAATAGTAATAATAATGCAAAAAAGTAGCACAGTAATGACGCTGATGAGTACTCTGTGTTATCAATTCACAAATCTTTATTAATATGTGCGTCGGTGGTATAGCGATTAGGACGCTCGCCGACCATGCACATTGGTCCGGGGTTCGATCCCCGGCCACAGACGCAGTCCTTTACACCGCTAAGTCAGAAATAATGCTGGTAAAGAGGAAAGGATGGGCCAAGTGAGGCTAGCGACCCAATCCTGTAAAAATAAACACCACTGCTACAGAAACTTCAGGTCAATAGCTTGAGGCCCTATGTTCCACTGGGAACGTGAAGGGAAAAAAATGTTGAATTAACAGTATATGAATGAAATTATCGATTCCTTTTCAATTAGTGAATGATGACTACCGGTAGAATCCAGCCAGAATGCGCATGTCGTCCTATTTGGAACTCGTCATAGTTTCAAAGCGCTACCAAAGAGTTATCAGCTGGACCACTTGGGCCATGAGAACTATCACTTCTTGTGCGATGGGTCTTATGAATTATCTAATCTAATTTGGATTATCCCATCGATTGTCCGGACGTCATCGAAGCATCCGGCATAAGGAGGAGGAGACATGTCAACCCTGATACCGAGTAATTCGGTTCAATCAATCGATTGGGAAACTCTAAATTGAATTAAATTGATGATTCTTTTTCTTTGTAATTTGTTAACAGATAATCGAAGAGTGGCTTTAGTGCACTATTGATCTTTTTGCTCAAGTGATGGTAATCATTCACATCCTTGTTCTGTATGATTAATATTCATTTATGTATTGAATTAAGCTTTATCTGTTGAAGATTACACTTCATTTTTAAGTTGACGGTATGATAACAAAAACAAATTCGTTGTTTTTTCTTAAAAAGGAGGAAGTGAAGCGAATAAAATAGGATGTAGTGAGGTGTATGTCTGTCTGTCAGTATGTTGGAGTGCATGTGTGTAGGTGGATGGGTAGTCAGATTAGATTGATGATATAATCATCAAAGTGTAGGCAAATATTTTGCATAAAACAATACTGAATTAGTTGACCTGAGACCTGTAAGTTGATACTACGGGACTGGACTACATATACTCACTTCTAGCTTAAGAGGTAGGCAGGAGTGAATTGGTACACAGTGTTGACCACTTCGCTTATATTTTGGAGCTTGCATCCAACCGGTGCCAACAGATTGATGTTTGATGAAATCTCAGTACGGATATATAGAAGGCTTGTTTGACATATGCCAACTTACGCCATTTCTGGCTTAAAAGATGTGATATCTGAATGATGTTGGATTTAAACCCAAAGGTGAGTAAAAACCACTGGATCTCCACCGCCTCATCCGAACTGATAGATGCTAGAAGACTTATTCCGGCGAGCTCCGAATTCAATGAGGAGCGAAAGCTGCACAAGAGGAAACTTACGAAAAGTCTCCGCAAGGACCGTGAACAGTGGTGGGCGACAAAAGCCAAAGAGATGGAGAAAGCTTTGAGGATAGGCAACACCAGGCAACTCTTTGGACTCATCAGGGAAACGGGTGGGAGAAGACAAATCATTAGTGAGACAATCTCGGAAAAAAATGGCACTATAATTAGCTCCCAGGATAGACGACTGGATCGTTGGAAAGAGCATTATGAGGAGCAGTTTAATTTGCCCACAGCCACGCTCAACCTTCCGAGCATCCAACACCTCCCTGAATGGGATATAGATACAGGTCCTCCGTCACTAACTGAGGTTACTAAAGCTGTCACCAATCTGAAACTAGGCAAAGCAGCGGGACCTGATGGAATGACGCCAGAGGTATTTAAGTACGGTGGAGACAGCTTACTGTCCGGATTAACTGAGGTACTAGGCAGCGTCTGGGAATCAGAAGAAGTCCCATCGGGTTGGTGTAAGTCACTGATTATCCCCATATACAAGAAGGGAGACAAGTCTTCCTGTGATAATCACAGAGGGATTAGCTTGACTAATATAGTATCTAAAGTCTTAGGCTCAATAATCATGCGTAGACTGAGTGGTGCTCGGGAAGCACAAACACGAGAGAGCCAGGCAGGCTTTAGACCAGGAAGAGGGTGTATTGATCATATCTTCACCCTCCGACAGATTCTAGAACATAGGCATTCCTACCGGCGTCCAACAGTCATTATATTTCTTGACCTAAAGGCAGCATTCGACTCTGTCGATCGGGAAGTTCTCTGGAGATGCTTGGCTGTAAAGGGAATTCCAAGAAAATATATTGCACTGATTAAGGCACTCTACTCGTACTCATACAGCCAGGTGAGGGCTTACGGCGAGCTGTCATCTGAACTGATGACGACCAGTGGTGTCCGTCAAGGATGCCCATTATCTCCTTTTCTATTCAACTTCATCATAGATGTGTTAATGGACTTAACCCTAGGTGACTTCAGCGACTCAGGGATTGACTTGCTACCTGGGAATAATCTCGTTGACTTGGAATATGCAGACGATATAGTCCTTCTAGGCGAAGACGCTGAAAAAATGCAGAGTCTTCTAAACACCTTGAGCTACAATCTACGAATGTTTGGCATGCGATTCGCTCCCGCCAAATGCAAGATGATGTTACAGGACTGGACTACATCGACGCCTAGTTTAAAAATAGGAAGTGAAGTGGTAGAGCACGTTGACCGCTTCACTTATTTGGGAAGTACCATCAGCCCCAACGGGCTGATCTCTGACGAAATCTCAGCACGAATACAAGGGGCTCGTTTCGCATTTGTTAGTTTACGCCGACTCTGGCGTAGACGAGATGTTCGACTATCGACCAAAGGGCGGGTGTACTGCTCATCAGTCCGCTCCGTCCTCCTTTATGGTTGTGAGACCTGGCCACTGAGAGTGGAAGACATGAAAAGACTAGCTGTCTTTGATCATAGGTGCCTGCGTTCTATTTCCCGTGTAAAGTGGCATAATAAGGTGAGCAACATGGAGGTTAGGCGTAGAGTTCTAGGTAAACAGGGGAAATCAATCGACGAAGTCGTGAAGCTACATCGACTGAGATGGTTAGGACATGTGTTACGTATGCCAAGTCATCGCCTCCCTCGACGAGCTATGTTAGCGGATATAGGGTCAGGCTGGAAAAAAGCTAGCGGCGGTCAAACAAAAACTTGGCATCAGTCAATGAAATCCACAACAGTTGGTCTAAGCCACGTAGGAAGGTGTAGACTTCCAGGCTGGGGTCCTCGGGACGGTAAAAATCTATGGTTGGAAACAATTGGTGACATGGCTCAAAATCGTTCTCAGTGGCGCAGATGCATCCACTCCCTGTGACTTATGATCTTCAATGAAACTGTTTTGTATTTCTTTATTACTCCTTTGTCTCACACCTCTGCTCACTGTTTCTATTATGCTTTTCTTGTACTTTCTTCTCTTGCTTCGCGTGCTACACGGAATGTGGCGACTTGAACTTCCGCACATTTGTGCAAAGTTCTATGTCGGAAACAGACAGATATCTGAATGGCTGTCGATTAAAGGGCGTGTGTACTGTTCAGCACTTCGTACACTTCGTCATCCTTCATTATAGCACTCAGTGAGGCATGGACATTGAAAGTGGGAAACATGAAAAGCCTGGCTAGGTGTCTTTGATTAGGCAGTATAATAGGGTAATATTGAGTTTAGGCATCGGTCGAGTGGTAGTTGGTAAGGAGGCTGTGAAGCAGTCACATGGATTTAGAAGGTTAAGACATGTGTTACGCATGCATGATTAGCCCTCGCCTTTTAACATGTCTATGAGCAATATGTTAGCTTACATAAGATTGATGAGGTTGGAAAAGAGCTAGTTAGTTGTGGTAGAAAATCAAAACATGACTTCATCAGTCAACTCAATCCATAACAGTTCATTTAAGCTGATCAGCCTCCAGCCAGTCACGTAGGAAGGTGTAGAATAACTTCCTGGTCGGGGTCTTAGGGATGGTAAGAACTAATGGACGCTGGCTCAAAATCGATCTCAATGGCTAGCGTATATGCGCACACTTTGTGATTTGTCAAATCCAATAAAACTCCATTGTTCTCCCATATTACTAATTCCCTTTCCCTTATCCAGACTTCTGTTTATCATTTCCCTTTTGAATAGCTGATTACTCTCTTCCTTTACTTTGTATGCTATATGATGGTGGGTGTAGCAGCTTGACTTGTTACCAGGGAATAGTCTTATGGATTTAGAATATGCAGATGACATAGTCCTGTTAGGAGAGGATGCTGACAAAATCCAGCAGAGTCTTCTGAACACCTTGAGCAACAATTTCCGTATGTTTGGCATGCGATTCGCCCCTGTAAAGATGATGTAAGATGCTGCTACAGGACTGGACCACGTCAACTCCCAGCTTAGTGATAGGGAGTGAAGCGATAGAACATGTTGACCACTTCACCTATTTGGGAAGTTGTATCAGACCAACGGACTGATTGGCGATGAAATCTCAGTACGGATCCGAAAAGCTCGAGCTGCTTTCGCTGACTTACACCATCTCTGGCGTAGGCGTGACATCCAGCTATCAACCAAGGGACGTGTGTACTGCTCAGCAGTTCGCTCCATCCTTGTCTATGGCTCTGAAACATGACCAATACGCGTTGAAGACATGAAAAGGTTAACTGATTTCGATCATAGATGTCTGCGATCTCTGTCTCACGTTAGGTGGTTTAATAAGGTAAGTAATGTTGACGTTAGGCGTAGAGTGTTGGGGAAAGAGGGAAAATCAATCGACGAGGCTATAAAGTTACATAGACTAAGATGGCTAGGTCAGGTGGTGCGCATGCCTAACCATCACCTCCCCCACCGACGGGCATTACTAGCTGATATAGGTTCAGGTTGGAAAAGGGTAAGTGGTGGCCAAACAAAAACATGGCCTCATCAATCCATGAAATAAATCCTTGACAGTTAAACTGAGTCAGTCAGGTAGGGTAGGAGGTGCAGACTTCCGGGTTGGGGCCCTCGGGACTGACTCTAGGAATCAATCAGTGGCTGGAGACAATAGGTGATATGGCTCAAAATCGTTGTCAATGGCCAGCTCAGATGTATTCAGTCTCTGTAATCTTTCATATTTCTTTGTACCGTTACCCATTCTGTTTCACTCTTATACTTGTCAGACTGTATTGATTTTCTTCACTCATCTTCTTGTCTACCTTTGTGTGCTATTTGGAAGGTGGCAACTCGAACTGGTGCACTTCGGTGCCAAGTTCTATGTTGAATCCAGACAGACAGACAGTGGCAGCTTGAACTGCCGTACGCCTTTCGAAAGTCTTTTGCTGAAATCAGTAAGTTAGGTCACACGCACCCACGGCCTGTTTGAATTAGTTTTCAGAGTTTTATGTTCATATTTAAGATCTTAACCACGGAAAGATAAAATCTTCAGGATGTACAATTATCAGGATCAACCACCTTTTACTAACTCCCGACCCCACCCGACTCCTCTGCAGGGTAGGGAGGTAGTATCACGGGCATGCTGTTGTTCATCTGCTGTTATATTCTTTTATTCCCCACCAAAGATACGACGTCGTCCACACACCTCCGGATATGGTATAACTGCTTGTAGTTTAACCATTATACTCAAAAATGACCTTTCTAGTATGATAGAACACATATGTAAGAATATTAGTATTAACCAATTTAGGTGGCTGCGGTGGAACGGGATGGGATGGATGGGGTTCACTGTGGTGGTGTACAAACCTGACTATCATGTAAATATAGTGCCAATCACTAGATCGGGAACCTTGGCCTTCTGCGATATCATTTAAAATTATTCATTCAATGTTTCTGAGAATTTCGCTTGCATACATACACACACACACACATACACATGCATACGCAGAAATATCTACACTTACGGGAATAAAGCATCTAATACTCGTTGACCAGTCAACAAGGGATGATTACCAGGAAGTTTTTCAGCAACTGGACGAGGTTGACGTACTGGCCATACTTGAAGCATTGTATGATGACTTGTCTGTCCATCGAATTCTATCTCTAATATTTTATCCTAAAATATACAATAACCAACAACAAAAACAACAAAGAAAAACAGATGAAACAACGATAGAATATTGAAGTAACGTCTTTTTTTTACTAAATAAGGAAAATACGTTGATGTTCGATGGATGGTTGGAGGTGATCGGTAGAAGGAAGCAGCTACCTTGCTTGACCTAGCTTTCGTGTTAGGTTAGCCGTCACTCACCAGTCAGTCAGCAAGGTGTGTGTCTGCAAGCACCTTGAAGGAACTCATGCCCCGCCCCCATACTGAGATTCGAACCTGTGTCCAATACAGTCCTACAGGAGGTCAATCACAAGCCAAAATTACTGGTGGTAACGCTTCTGACAGTATGCAATGCAGCACTGGGTGGTGACACGGGTTCGCATCTCAGTAGGAGGGACACGAGTTCGTTCAAGGTGCTTGCAGATATGCCTTGCTGACTACTGGTGATTGCCAGCTAACTAACACGAAACCTAGCTCAAGTAAGACTTCCTGTAGCCGATTGCCTCCAACCATCTGATATCAGTGATTCGAAGTGCACCGTGGTGGCGAACTACCTAGAAGATTGACCACATTGCAAACTTGACCAACTGATAGAACTCAGTCTGCATCAAACAAAGGACCAGACACACACACTACACACTAGTTACTGGACTAGTGTTCAATCAAAGGAAAATACGTTTCAAGTTAAATTATCAAACAACTGACGTCAGTTAGAAAGGCATTAGAAACCAAGGAGTAGTCGACATCATGCTTCAAGACTCATCAGGTAACCAGAGATTGAAAGTAAGACTTTTAGGTTATGAACTGAGCCTATTTACTAGTCACTCATTTCACAACTTACCTACAAAGATGATGCATCGCCTCCCTCGACGAGCTATGTTAGCGGATATAGGGTCAGGCTGGAAAAAAGCTAGCGGCGGTCAAACAAAAACTTGGCCTTACCAGTCAATGAAATCCACAACAGTTGGTCTAAGCCAGTCACATAGGAAGGTGTAGACTTCCAGGCTGGGGTCCTCGGGACGGTAAAAATCTATGGTTGGAAACAATTGGTGACATGGCTCAAAATCGTTCTCAGTGGCGCAGATGCATCCACTCCCCGTGACTTATGATCTTCAATGAAATTGTTTTATATTTCTTTATTACTCCTTTGTCTCACACATCTGCTCACTGTTTCTATTATGCTTTTCTTGTACTTTCCTCTCTTGCTTCGCGTGCTACACGGAGTGTGGCGACTTGAACTGCCGCACATTTGTGTATAGTTCTATGTCGAAAACAGACAGACAAAGATGATGGATGATACTGTTAGTAGAATAAGTTGCAGACTGAACGTTGCATTGAAAAGACCATCAGCTGCCAAACGTGTATGTGTTTATCAAACGACCAGTTGTTTGTTTAAGAGACAATCGGAAGTAAACAAACTCTCACATTATGTTACCTTCAAATATGTATCTACCAATTTATATGTACATGTCAAAGCACAAACATTGGAAGAGAAAAGAGAGAAGGATTATTGTCCGAATTTATGAACACACACTTACGAAAGAACCTGTGACTAAAAGCCTCATGGGCATTAAACAGTGCGATTACGTGCCATCCTATTGGACACTGGTTATGCTGTGGACAATCTGAAGTTGTTCACAACAATCAACGAGCAGAATAAATCTAGTTTCCTGTGTTTCGATGAAATAATCATCATCAAATGATTAAAAGCGAACCTGTGTACACAGAAAGGGAGATAGTGGTGAACCTTCCTCTCAAAAATTTATCAGGTCATCCTAAGTCGTGTTTAGAAGGCTTCACTTTTTCGTCTAAACACGACTCACCTTAGCGCCTCCCCCTCTTTTGTTGGATATTGTATAAAATTTCATACATTTATTCCCCGGTGATGAATTTGAATATAACACAAGAACAACAGTGTCGTCTGTGCTGAATAATATGGTACCATCATCATCATCATCATCATCATCATCAACTGCTTACAGTCTAAATGTATTACTAAGTTTATGTACAGAAAAATTTTAACATACTTGCATATTTTACATGATGTCAGTTGACAGGGGGAGGTTCCGGAATTAGTGAACAGTGCTCAGTAAATTACGCTTATATCGTTTTTACACAGGCAGTTCAACAAGTCTAAACAAAGTAAATGTATTCATTCTTACAATGGTATTTGTTTATTTATTTTTGATTACAGCTTGAATCCACACTGTATATATTTTTTTGGTACAAGTATGGAATTTTCAGCATGTGATATATAGGTAGCCCAAATTTTGCAGGCCGACCATAGATATCAGGTGTGCGTCGGCAGGGGATCGAACGTCGGACCATAGTTGGCGAGAGTCCTAACCACTGTGCCGCTGACGCACCATGGTAAATGGTAAAGGAGTTAGGAATGGACAGCTGTTGAATCATTCCTATTACATGTATTCTCTTCAGTTGATTTGATAAACAAAGCTTCTGTTATCAATCTCTCCCTCCCTACACCCTGTGACATTAGATTTTAAAACTGTCTGTCATCTTATTCCATCCTATTGTATCGTTATGTGTGATTGCATGTAGTGCTTGCGACAGCTGAACTATTCTCTAGATTTCTTATCTTATTCGGGTCAACTAATCTAGATTTTGTTGCTAGGTTTTTATGCTCGGCTATTCTGACTGCCGCTATTCTACTACTTTAACCTATGTATTTGACCTGACAACCAATGCCGGTAAGGTATTAGATAAAGTAAGAAAAATTACCCTGATAAATTAGTCAGAAATTATGTAGGGAAGTGAAAAGTAAAGATAAAATAAATAATGATAGTTGTGATAGTAATAATAATAATAATAATAATAATGACGACATGCATGTCAAATATGCGCAAGACAACACCAACAATAGGGAATGTAAATCATCAGTAGTGATTCCATAAAACGAAGGGACCTCGAAATCCACCTTACGCAGAATTCTTAACAATGCAGGCAGGAATAAAACTGGCTGGCATTCAAGTCACCCACAAACTCAATTAGAAACAAGCTTTGTGGGATAAAGGATCAATCCTAACAGTGGAGCTTTTAAAACAAAACAATTTAGTTTATCTAATACCCTGCCTGCAATGATTGTCAGGCGAAGTACATAGGTTAAAGTAGTAGAACAGGTGTAGTCAGGCTACTGATGATTTATATTTTGTATCGTTGATGCTTTCATTGTTCTGTGTATGTTTGTCATGTAAGTCGTCCATTATTATCATCATTATCATTAACTTTATTTTCACATCTTCTTAAATACCTCCTGATTAATTTATCAGGGTAATTATTAAGTTTCAAGGCTTCTCTCCTTTTATATGCCTGACTTCCTGTCTTAGATTTACCTTGGTACTCGTGCTCTATCACTTAAACATTTCACCAATCCTCTTTTTACTGACATGAGAGCTGGGGTGAAATGTAAGCGAAATGTCAGTTTGAACGTGTGTGTGTGTGTGTGTGGGTTTTCTCTGTAAATACTGGTGTTTAACTCGCCATCTTCTCTCCTTTTTACGTTGCAATCTAACATATTGATAACAAAAGTTTTGTTTATCGAATCAACTGCAAACACGTGTAATAGGAATGATTCAACACCTGTTCAAGTAGATATCTGGAAAATTCTACTACCCCAATGACGACAAATAGGAGAGAATAAAGAAAACTATAAAACGAAAGTTTCAAAGTTATGTAGTTATAATTGAGGATATGATTACGAACAATAATAGATTGTGTTCGAAAGGTCATCAGATCCAGTAAAATTGACATTGTTTCACACTGTGTGGAATTACATACCTATTTCACAGTGCCCAAGTCTTACACACATATCATAACAAAACAGGAATACTCTGGGATAGAGAAGAATTTTGTAGAACATTTTGCACTTCGCGGATGGTGTATATGTCTAATGTCACACACAAATGCAAAGAGGTGAACGCCAAAACCAACAATTAGGTACAAGAGGTAGGCCAGCGGAGACAGACAGGCAGACTTCAAGTGAACATAGACAAGATATAAACCATCTGCGGAGCGCAAATCTTCTAAGACTTCTTGTCTATCCAAAATACTCTTGTCTTCCCACTCCTCACAGTCCATGGCATGATCGAGTCATGCAGTCATTAAAAAAAAAGGAATGATACAAAAACTTACCGATAGTGTATAATGCCCAGCTGGTGCTATCCACTTGATTGTACCTTGAGCTTTCGGCGATAGCATAATACGATGCTGAACTAGCGTATTCTCTGGTACAACACCATAGATATCACCACCAGTTATATGCATGCCTGATTTCAGCCCAGGTGTTGGTATAAACTCCCATTCCACTTTTCGATCTAATGCAGGCACATTTACACCTCTAGGAATATAGATTGAACTGGTTAAATCACAAATGCCTTTCAAAGGACGTTGAATACCTTGAAGGAAATATGAAAGTGGAAAAACTATGAAAGTAATTGATGAATGACATAGGAAAAATCGCAGTAGAGCGAATCCAGCCAGCATTATTATTGTATTGGTATGAAAGTGCCAGTTATACAGAAGTAGACGAAAGTAAGGATACAACTAGAAAACCTGGCAATACTGGACAAATGTTTCGTCCTAGTTTACGAATCTTCAGCAGTACGCAATCCACCGCCACAGGGGTTCGGACCAAGGATATTTCTGCGATTGTCCCCATTCAGTTAGGTACTCATCTGGGTTCTAGTGGGCAGTCGTGACCAGTGGGGTAGAGCAGGTCAGGTGTAAGGAAAAGTCTGTCTGTCTGTTTTCGACATAGAAGTTTACACATATGTGCGGAAGTTCAAGTCGACACACTCCCTCCATGTACCACACAAAGCAAGAGAAGAAAGTACAAGGAAAGCATAATAGAGACAGTGAGCAGAGGTGTGAGACAAAGGAATAGTAATAACCAAGAACAATAGAGTTTCATTGGAAATTAAAAGTCACAAGGAGTGGATGCATCTTCGCTATGCATTGAGAACGATTTTGAGCCATGTCACCAATTGTTTCCAACCATTGGTTTTTACCGTCCTGAGGACTCCAACCAGGAAGCTAGTCTACACCTTCCTACGTGACTGGCTTAGACTAACTGATGTGGATTTCATTGAGTGGTCATGCCATGTTTTTGTTTGACCGCCGCTAGCTTTTTTCCAGCCTGACCCTATATCCACTAACATTGCCCATTGTCGAGGAAGGCGATGACTAGTCATGCCTTCGTACACATGTCCTAAACATCTCGGTCGATGTAACTTCACGACCTCGTCGATTGATTTCCCCTGTTTACCTAGAACTCGACTGATGCCTAACCTCAATGTTGCTCACCTTATTATGCCACTTTACACGGGAGATAGAGCGCAGGCACCTATGATCAAACACAGCTAGTCTTTTCATGTCTTCCACTTTCAATGGCCAGGTCTCACTCACAGCCATAAAGGAGGACGGAGAGGACTGATGAGCGGTACACCCGCCCTTCGGTCGATAGTCGAATATCTCGTCTACGCCAGAGACGGCGTAAACTGGCAAATGTGAAACGAGCCCCCTGTATCCGTTCTGAGATTTCGTCAGAGATCAACCCGTTGGTGCTGGTTGATGGTACTTCCCAAGTAAGTGAAGCGGTCAACGTGCTTTACCACTTCACTTCCTATTTCTAATCTAGGAGTCGGTGTAGTCCAGTCCTGTAACATCATCTTGCATTTGGCGGGAGCGAATCGCATGCCAAACATTTTTAGATTGCAGCTACTCAAGGTGTTTAGAAGACTCTGCATTTTTTTCAGCATCCTCACCTAGTAGGACTATATCGTTAGCATATTCTAAGTCAACGAGATTATTCCCTGGTAGCAAGTCAACCCCTTAGCCGCTGAAGTCACTTAGGGTTAAGTCCATTAGTACATCTATGATGAAGTTGAATAGAAAAGGGGATAATGGGCAGTATTCGCCAGGGATGAGATTGGCTAGTGGTCGCACTATACCGTGCGTTGAATTGGCAGAAGTTGGAATTGATGGACCATTGGGCTGGATTCCAATGGGCCTGGATGGTCTACGAGGGCGCCTTTCAACCTATAGGTCCTGGACTTGGACCCTCGTCGGTGGGTGCGTACTGCTGAGGAGTCCCAAACTAGGACGTCCAGTACTAGGCTGTCCAGTACTCCCTGGTAGTTTTCTAATAGTTCCCTAACCAATGTCAGCTCATGATAAAATCCTGTAAGTAATCAAATCAAACCTCTGCAAGCCACAAAAACCTGAAAACCTATGAAGTGTTTGACGATTAATCTCACTGAGATTCAACACAGAAGTGCAGAAGCCATTCCAGCTGAGAAGAGATGTACATGAGAAATATGTGAATTTAATGGATCTATAAGATTAGAAAGTGTGAATGCATCTCCCCATCATTGACAATAGTTTTGAGTCTCTAGCAGTTGGTTCTTAACATCCTCGAGGACTCCAGCTAATCAGGCAACCTATACCTCCCGTAACATGGCTGCTTTAAACCAACAATCATGTTTTGATTTGACCATCCTTAAGTTTTACCAACTGAACCCTACGTCAACTAACATTGTTCATGGAGGAAAGTGGTGGTTCAGAATGCACTATACGTGTTCTAGTCAAATTAATAGACGTAGGTCCTCCACAACCGAATCGATTGACTTCGCTTCCTCACGCGTTACACTTTACGCCTAGGTTCAATGTGCAACATCATACTGTACAAATTAACACAGGAGACAGACAGTAAGCCCCTTCGCATCTTCCACTTTCAAAAGCCATAGCTTATGGTCATAAAGGAGGACACAGAAAACTGGTGTACAGTACACACGTCCTTTGGTCAATAGTCGGACATCTATGCCTGTCCCAGAGATGATGTAAAAGTTGGATGACGAATTTTCAAACGAGTGCTTCCACTATAACGAGACGTATTCCACATTTCTACAACGATATACATTATTCAACATTTTACTAAAATACTAGGCGAAATATGGCTCATTGGCTTAACAAATCGATGAATTAGTCATTGGGGGTGCTAAATTCGAATACAGCTCCATTGACGACTTCAGCTTGGGGGGAGTCGGGGGGAGGGTGGGAACTTACTTACTTACTTTACTTCGGCTATCTCCTACGGGAGGATGAGCCGGCTTCATGAACGTCTCGAATCATCGCTGCCCAGGCGCGGCGATCTGAAGCAAGGTTTTGCGATAGGGATATCCAATTCTTGTTCCACATACGGAGTCCGTAGACCGTTTGTAGCCCCAGGCACTCCATATCTGCCTTGACTGTACCAAGCCATGTCTTCAGCTGTCCGCCTCTGCGACATCGCCAAGATGGTAATGGCGAGGGATTTAGAACTGATTTGACCAGATCGTCATCTGGTCGGCGCAGAACATGGCCAAACCACCGAAGGCGGCGTTGTTGGACCAGTACTGGAATTTGGTTGATGTTGTAGCAACGCCGACGCACTTCTTCGTTGGAGAGTTTGTCCTGCCAACGAACATGCAGAATGTACCTGAGACACCAATGGTCTAATACCTCGAGTCTGCGTAAATCTTCCGCGCGAAGAGGCCAGGTTTCACAGCCATACAGCAGAACGGGTCGTATGGAAGCTTGGTAGACCCGAATTTTAGTCCTGAGACTGATTTCTCTCTTGCTCCATAGAACGCTCCTCAGCTGTAGAAACGCATTCCGGGCGTTGGAGATTCGCGCATTCACTTCGTTTTTCGCTTGGCCGTTGGGGAGCATTATGGATCCCAGATATCTGAAGGATGGCACAATTTCAATAGGTGCTCCATTTAGGGATAAGATTTCATCATTGCCGGTGGATGTGTTCGAAAACATTTTGGTTTTGGAAGTGTTAATTTTCAAACCGATAGTAGGCGCGAGGTGGTTTATCTGGTCGAGCGCCTGTTGCATATCGGGGAAGTTTTCAGCTAACAGCACGACGTCGTCGGCGAATTCGAGGTCGGTTATGTGAATATCGGGCGAAAGTTGGACGCCGTGGTGCTCGGTTAGGGCGTGCCGCAAAATCCAATCAATTGTGAAATTGAACAGGATGGGGGATGCTGGACAACCTTGCCGGACACCGCTGGTTACCTCAAAAGTGCGGGACTCTTCACCGTTCACTCGGACTCGAGCTTTGGTGTTGGAGTAGTATGACCTGAGCAGGTTGATTAGCTTGGTCGGAACTCCGTCGAGCTCCATTAGATACCAGAGTGCTCCTCGATCAACTGAGTCGAATGCCGCTTGGAAGTCGATGAAGCAAGCAACCGTCGGCTGTTGGAATTTGTCCCTGTGTTCCAAAATTCTTCGCAGTGTGAATAATTGATCAACACAGCCTCTTCCAGGTCGAAATCCGGCTTGATTTGGCCTTGTTCGCACGTGGCGTTCGGCCGCGAAGCGGTTCAGGAGAATGGAAACAAAAACCTTAGCAGCGATATCAATCAGACTTATGCCTCGGTAGTTCTCGCATATTGACCTGTCTCCCTTTTTGTGGAACGGTAGCAGAACTGAGGTGCTCCAATCGGAAGGAATGGTTTCGGACTCCCAAATTGAAGGGTGGGAACTGGATAGTAAGTACCTTTAGTTCTCACACAATGTGTAGCTCAGTTATCCAGGACAGGTTTTTCATATATGCGACCAAGACCGTCACGAAGGCCACTTCAAACAAACTACAGATATTTATATATTTACAAAGTGAAATTACCAGACACCGACCGTGCGGATACGGGTCATTTTGTTGTGATTTCCAAATCCTTCAAAATATTAAACATACAAAAGGACAGTGAATCCTTTTTCGGTTTGCTGGAGCAATTACAATCGAGTGTCTCAGACCAAACTTATTCACACAGACACAGAGAGAGTGTGTAATCAATCTCTCATTCCCTTGGTGGTTACGTCATTACAATGATAAGTCATACACACTAGTGAGCTCAACTCACCAAGCAAGTTTTCAATTTCATGAACTTCAACCTTCTTGAGTTGACATGTTGACGTACAAGCCTACACAGTTTATTAGATTTTTCTGTTTTCTATCTTCTCTCACCATCCCCTTTTTTTCCATAGTTTGATAATATAAAAAATTGATGGTAACTATAAATTGTAGTACTTATATTCCGGATGCGTTCATCTTATAATGTTTTTTTTCTGTTACCTTTCAGGCATTGAAGTATGAAATGTTATTATTTATAACAATTGTAATTCCAGGTATGGATGTGCCGCTGATGAGAACCTGCCAAATAGAATGGTATCATTTTATACTGCAAATCCGGTCTTTCCTTGTCTATCAAAATTTATCAAGGGAACCAAATGTATGAAACTACAGACTTCCATCAACAGCTGTCTTTGCTCAATACTACTTAAGCTCAGACGGTCGACCAGAAAAGATCAGCATTATGGATCTCTGGAGATGAACGACGCTACCCAGCAAGAACCCATTGTGCAGCATACATGCAAGAAGAAATGGAGGTGAATTGGTCATACTCTGAGAAAAAAAAACCATCATCAAGTGACATCACACGACAGGCCGTCGGTAGAATGGAACCCGAACGGGAAGCGGTGAGTTGATCGTCAGTGCGAGGGTGACATGGTGGAGCAGGTTATGTGAAGAGGAGATGAAAACATGTGGACAGACGTAAAGCCAGGTGAAAACATTGGCAGAGAACCGAACGCAACGGAGACTTGGGCGGCTGAAGCCCTATGTTGCTCTAGGAACTATACTAGGAGCCAAACTTATTTTGTGAAGGCTAAAATGGGTGGAATGGGACTCGAACTAGGGACGTCCACTCACTGTAAATCGGCATGACAGAAGAGAAGAAAGTATTCTTAAGAAGCGAAAAAAAGACTAACAGTAAGGATAGGATAAAAAAAGCATTAACTAATCCACACAAAAAAACCAATTATTCATGATAATTTCTTTCTCACAAAACATATCAAACACAATATATGCATACCGTCGAAAATATTGTTTACAATTCCAGGTCCAAGTTCCACGGATAAAGGTTTACCAGTTCTAAGGACAGGATCACCTACAGTAACACCAGCTGTAAAAACAACAATGACCACAGAAGTAGCAGTCAAGGGAAACAGGAATGTAAAAATTGATAACTTTAAGACAGATAGCTGGCTGACTACAAAGATCAGGGGGACAACCGCTTACAGACGACCTGTTTGAAGTGGTGTTTTGAGCTCTGTTTTTACAAAGAAGACCTTAATGTTGCAGAGGAAGTCAGGATATAGAATTTTGAAGGTAAACCTTTTCTAAACACCTTCTTCCAGAGGTGAGGGCAACACCTTACGGTTATTTCATTCCTATTCACACATACTGTTAGTTTAATTGGTTGATGGTGACTAACAGTGGAATCTAGCCTGGATGTGCACTTCGTCCATTTGAGACTCGTCAGTTGGATGTGCCTGTATTCCCTACTGAGTCAGTGAAGGTCCTGCATTCAATCCCCAGAGGAGTGGAGTCATAGGTGCTTACTGCTGAGGCATCCCGAACTAGGACAAAACAACTATTCAATACTCCCAGGTTTCCAAACTGACATCAATCACTCCAATGACCACCCTTAAAACAAAGTCTTGAAAACCTCGATATGCCCATTATGACTCACTGAAATGTTGAGAAATCAGATGAATGGAGTGCTATTCAACAATCACTTGCGCTTCTACACCAGGCTGCGCAAACCTTCCTAGATAGGTGGGAGTGGTGGTGGTGGTGGGGGGGCGATATTCGAACTCGTCACTCAGTGATTCAAAAACCAGTACACCTAGACCAATCCAGCTACAAGTCCACACTCTGGAATAACAACTTTTATACAAAAATACAGCACAATAAAGCTTAAGTTTCTAAGATGTTAATATAAAATACGCAGACACTGATTGAAGAGAATGCCCAACGAGAACATCACTTCTTGGTCCGAGCTTCAGTGACAGATAAGACCACTGGTATGGAATGACACGCTAAATAATTTTCAAATAAGGAACAAATCTCTGTTGTTGTTGTTATTGTCTAGTTTTTATTTCAATTAGACTGACTGACTGACTGGTTTCAACATAAGACTCTCCCCCCAGATGTGCTCCAGTTCGAGTTGCCACTCCCCCTCCATGTACCACACAAAGCAAAAGAAGAGAGTAATCAGAAATTCAAAAGAGAGATGTGGTGAGAGAGCTGTGTGTTATCCAAAATTGGTAGACAGCAATTTACGTCAATGTTTACGTCCTCCAAATCTTGGTCATGAGAAAAGAATAACATGAACAAGGACTAACTCAACAACTGATCACAGCAGACTTAGCGTGGGTGGATACGATTCGCAGATATACCAACGGACTGTTTAAGAAACGGCAATAAAGAGATGAATAACCTTCAGCAAGAAAATAACCAATCAGAAGACGTTATCTCTCTGCTAACAATAACGTATAATGATGTAAATAGAAATCTATAAATATCTGTTGATTTTGTCAATAATCGATCTGTTGCCTGGCCCTTGTCTTCAGAGATAATAAACAGAAGTGTGAATGAGGGAGAAAGAATAGTAGTAATATGGAAGAATAATAGAGAGTTGAGTTCTATTGGATATGACAAATAAATCACAAAGAGTGAATGCGTCTACGCCAGGTACTGAGAACGATGATTTTCAGCTATATCTCTAATTGTCTCCAGCCGTCATTGGTTCTTACCATCTGGAGGACCACAACCAGCAAGCTAGTATACCCCTCCCTACGTGACTGGCTGGCTTAAACTAACTGTTATGGATTTCATTGACTGATGAAACCATATTTTGGTCCCACCACCACTAACTCTTTTCCAACCTGAGTGTATATCAGCTAACATCACCCGTCAGAGAAGGCGATGTTTAGTCACGCATTCGTTGCACATGCCCTAACTATCTCAATCTATATAAGTTCCCAACCTTATATGTCTTATGTGAATGAAAACTTATCCGGTTGACAGAATTGCTCCTTACTGCCCCCCCCCACCTACCTACTGCGAAGGTAACAATCATAAATGATAAAAATAACATTTTAAGAAAACAATAACTTCTAAAGGATACATGTTTCTTCGTAGACTTGAATTGTCGCTAAATCGCCTTCCAAACGAATAATCTCTCCAACCAGCTCATCATGTCCAACACGAACTAATTCATACATAGCAGAACCAGCCATTGAAGAGGCAGTGACAACTGGAAAAGAAAAGAAAGGTATACCATTAAAATGTGATACAAGTAATATACATATAATATCCGATAATCTCTAAATTACATAGTCCTTATATGAAAAGTATGTTTAAAAACTGAGTCAAGTTTTATCGCGGATTGATATGAGTTGGAGAAGCAGTGAACCCCCCCCCCCCAAGTGAATACTAGATGACGGGTGTTTCGTCCTACTTGGGAACTCTTCGCCCAAGGCCCCAATCTCACCAAGGATCGAATCCATAACCTTCACAGTTTACGAAGCAGAACTTGTTGACCATTCACTTACTGGACTATGAATTCTAACTTCTGCCAATTCGTTATACTAGGATGTAACTGCTATCCAGCACCTCTAGTACCTCCTGGTGGGTTTTTTTTAACGTTTTTCCAACTATTATCAATTAAATCGCCACAAACTAACACACTATACTACTCATGACAACCAGTAGTATGAATCGGTATGCAAGTATTTGGGATTTTTGACTGTCATTTATAGTACACCTGTTCATAGGCTCTGATGTATCTCCCTGTCACAGTGGGACCCACACCCACCAACTCGTCGTCATTTCTCATTCGAATTCCAATGGAGGTTGAGTCTGTTATGTTCTAGTCGCTAAATTATTGTTATGGACTGGTCGAGAAACTGATAGTCCTGACGCGAGAAGGCGCAAATCAGAAGACCACTAGGTTTGCGATGATACTTCTATTGTCCAAACACAAGGAGACGAAAATAAATGGTCTCACACCAAAGTGGTAAGTAAGTAAAGTAGTTGTAAAGTAAAGTAGTTCACACAAATTGAGAATGCGAATATATATATAAATAATTCAGACAAGCGTGGGAAAAATCATTAGACAGTCTTAACATGAATGGCTAATTATAATGGAGTGTCGATCCAATTATACATAGCGAATATAGCAGACATGCCAACACACATATATGGATATATGTCACCAAGCAACGGACTGTCAACAAACACTCATATTATATATAATATAATATAAGGAGAATACACATTATTAAAGGAGACAAGTCCATACAAGTGAAGTGGTCACAGACTAACCGAGCAAACAGAAAGAGAGACCAACATGCACACACACACACATAAATATATATATGTGGATACATATCAGAGTCTGACTGGCGTGTGTGATGTTACTCAATGAGCCTCCCCAATCGTGTGTCCAATGCACCTACACACTTCCTTCTGCATATTTGTAGGCCGTAGGTTCTTGGTTATTTCGTTGCCTGCCGGATTCCCTTGTTGTAAAAGCAGCTGTTAATGAAAATCAGCAGTAGCCCGTTGAAAATGCTTTCTGTGACGCATCTCATATAGAAGCACTGATTTAACATTGACTCCTATATCTAAGGATAGAGCGCGTTGACTACTTCACTTATTTGAGAAGTTGCATCTACCCCCAAAGGGCTGCTGATAGCTGATGAAATCTTAGCGTGGGATATAGAAGGCTCGTTTGGCATAGGCCAACTTACGCCATCTCTTGGTTACTGGAAGTGTTATCCAACTGGCTGTCTACTAAAGGAAGTCTATACTGCACAGAAGCAGTCCGCTCCATCCTCCTTCTCAATCTTTTTGTGAGAGTGAAAATGGAAAACATGAAAAGCTTGACTACATGTCTTTGATTATAGATGTCTGCGTTCAGTCTCCCGTGTTAGGTGGTGGTATAAATGGGTGAGCAATATTTAGGTTAGGTATCGATCCAGTGCCAGGTAAGGAGGGTAAATCAATCGACGAGACTGTGAAGTTACATCGATTGAGATGGTTAAGACATGTGTTACGCATGCCTTCATCAATCAGTGGAATTCGCAACGGTTAGACTGAGCCAGACACGTAGAGAGGAGACTCTCTGGCTGCTTGGCGTCCTTGGTATGTGAAAACACACCAATGGCCGAAGACAACTGATGGTATGGTTGGCGAAGATGCACATCCTCAGACCACTCGAAGAGGTCAGGTTTCACAGGGGTAGAGCAAGACAGCATGCAGTGAAGCATTGTAAACCCGATCTTTGACAGCCAGGCTGACCTCGCGAGGGCTCCAGAGGTGGCCCAAGTTGATGTATGCCACCCCAGCTTTCATGATAGGACTGGAAATCTCAACTGTCACCCCTCCGTCAGCACTCACACAACTACCCAGATACACGAACTTATCGACAACTTCAAGCAATTCACCTCTTCTAAAGTGAGTACAAGGTACAGTCTCCTGTCAATCTTGTACTACTTTGCACTTAGGCGGTGCAAAGCACATACAATACCTACAGACACAGATCACCAAATGATTAAGTGCGATTTGGGCAGCCTTCAGGCTATCGCACTGTAAGGAGCTAAAAAGGGATTAAGTGTAATTCAAACACATTCTTAATAGCTTGTTTTGCTGTGCACATTATAAAGATCGAATTCCAAATGAAAATAATACGCTTAACAGTAAACAATAGCACAATAAAGAAATAACTAATCACTTACCAGGACCTGATACAGCATAAACATATCCATATTGGCTTTCACGATCACCATTCTCTAATCTAAGTTCACGCATAGATTGTTCCATTGTTGCCTATAGAAAAGTAAGGTGTAAATGAAGCATATTAGGTCAAATTCTTTTTTCTAAAAGTGCATCGGTAGCATAGCGATAAAATGCTTGCGGATCACGCAGCCACGTGGTCCGGTGTTCGATCCATGGCTGGCAAGGCACTCCCTGACCTTGCTAAGCCAGTAATAAGACTGGTAAAGAGGGAACGTCAAGTCAGGTGAAGCTAGCAACCTCATTCAGTGAAAAAAACACCACTACTAGCGAAACTTCAAGCCTCTAATCTGAAGCCCTCTGTTACACGTGGAACGTAAAGGAATAAAAATTCTAAAAAAACTTTCCAAAGACAATTATCCAAGACTGCGCTTAGTACCTTTTTCTCACGAATTTTGATCTACAGCGCTATACAGTCGTGATTGAGATGGGATCATCATGTGATCAATGAAATTAGCAGCTCATGTAACAGTATCAAGGGCAGTTTTAAAAACAACTCATATGAAAAAACATCACATGCTTTCACCTGTGCTCTGTTCAGTGGTAAACATGAAAACTCATTTCCTAAAGAATTAACCGCACTTCTATGATGCCAGTGTTATTAATTATAAAGCGACTAATATAGCTACTACCTTGATGCGGTAATCAGGCTTGCATATTGCAGTAATCTACTACCTATTTTTTCAGGAGGGAGGGTACAGCTATCTATCCTGCGAATGTAACTGAGGTGGTAAAATTTTTCTACAGTTTGAAATAAGTCAAAGAAGTGAAACCTAACCACAGGGACGAAAGCGCTTGAGTGGCATTTGTCAGCCGATTCACATCATCCTCTGGCGTAGACATAATATCCGGTTATCAATTAAAGGAGGTATTGTACTGAATAGCAGTTCACTCTGTCCACTGAAAGTGTAGGAAATGAGAAGGCTAGCTGTCTTTGACCACAAATACTTCAGTTATATCTACTGTGTTAAGTGGCATAACATGGTAAGGAATTTCAGGCTAGGAATAGTGTTATGTAAGCAGGAAAAGCCTATCCATTGGGATGTCTAGAACACGTATTACACGTACAAATTAATCGCTTTTTTTACTGATCAAGGTTAATCGATATATGGTCAGGTTGGAAAAGAGGGGAGGTAAAATCAATGCCTGGCATTAGTTCATGAAGTCTCTGATTGTTATTTTAAGTCCCCAAGGAAGGTGTAGACTGTTTAAATGGGAACCTTAGAATGCTAAATATTAATGGATAGAGACTGCCAAGAAAATGGATTGAATTTGTTGTCAAAAGTGCAGATGCATTCACTCTTTTTTCACCCCATTAGTTTCAATGTTATCATTCGTTTTCCTGTATTTATTATTATTTTATTATTATGTGCACCATGAGAACCACCACACAGAATCTTATAGTTGGTGTGAGATTTGGAATACTGCTTGCACACCCAGACCGAAGCAGGTGGTTGTCTTAAGGGACCGGCGAGGCAGTGGAACAGCTTCACGAGCTGCATCCCCAAAAAGATGCTCATACACTATTCGACACCTTTGGATTCCAGAGCCCGTGTACACTATAGGTTGACCAGTGTTCAGCAGTCAGACTGTATGAGCCAGACATTCGAATGCACCCTTTAACTTTTGTGAGGAACACCCCAGCCGCGTGAAGGCAGAGGAAGGTTATAAACGCATCACCAAATGAAATCATTTCGAGGAGTGAAATTTACCAGCCATATCAGGTTGTTCTTTTTCTTGCACTTTTTTGTTTATGGTTGTTTACTTACATTTTTTTAATTTCCCTTTATTATTTGCTTTATGAAGTGCGGCAAACTGAACTGCTGCAAAGCTATATGTTGAAAACAGTCAGTCAGTCAGTAAGGAGAGGAGGAAACGTGAGGTAATAAACTTTTGAACTTTGAAAATGAATATCATCTAAGGGTAGAAGGTAGATAGTCTAAGATGTTACTTAGTACCATTATAAACTGTAGTAACTTAATGAAAATCAGCTGTTTTAAAAGTGATTTTTGAACCATTAAAAAAGACTTGAAATTATTTTCTAGACAAGAAGGCGTTTTGCCTGTGATAAACTAAATTGACGTTTTTAATGAGATTTCATTCATTGTTCTCACTGTTACACGCAATAAGCCTCTGCCGAGAAATCAGCTTTGTTAAATTAGTCAAACTTCGTGTGTGTACACAAGAACAGGATTGCAGAAACTGGACAAATTGATACACAAAGCAAACATTTTATACACTGATGTCATTTAGAAATTTGTGATGCTAAGAAAATTTTAAGAGGAGTTAAGATGCTTTTCAAAGACCTAACAGCTACGAAATAAACTATTTTCACACTTTCATTTACGACACCATTTCTCTTACAGTAAAAAGGCAGAAATAAGTTTTTTCTACTCTACAATACGTATTTTTTTAAAAAAACATTCATCATTAGATTCTCCATGCATTGATACTTCATAACAATCAATCTGGTTTGGAAAAATTTTAAACTGGTAGTTAATGAGGCTTTGGAATAGTAGTGAAACTAAGAATGTCATTCATATTTAGGAAACCTTCGGCTTCCGTTAAGGTTTAATTTTAAGGAGCGGACATCTATAAACCAATAATAATATTCGCGGGTTATCTCGAAAAATTCGACTCGCTGGGGTTTTCGGAGGGTGAAAATACCCCTTGTGTGTAAAATCCAGACATTTTTAAGACCCTCTGTCATGCTATGCATTCTATCGACTGGGTCTTCTTTCGTGGGATTCTGGTAGTCTAGTCTCGTCCAACTAGCTTGAACAGGAAATGAATACCATGACAGCTACGAAAATATATGGAATGCCACTTCTGCAGCATAATCAAGTAATGAGATACTTGTTTCTTTCTGAAAACGTTTTAGACTGGCATTTATAAGCACAAAATGACTTGTACAGATATCCTAGCCAATAACGAAACCCATAGTAAACCTTGTAAAATATAAAGCAATGAAAAATGTGCAAATTTAAGTGAGGCTTATCATAAACCCCATCCAGCAGTAAGCATAAAACGCGCAAACCACCATACCAGCCACTTACGAAAAATTGTTTGACAGTCGCGCGTTGTGTCGACCACCTATATTTAGTGTATCAAAAGTAAGTACGTAATCCGATGTCCCTTTTTGAGCTATTGTTAAACCGACCAATTTATTTTTCCTTCTTCTGGATATTGAGTAGCTTTCTATGTGTTTTTGTGGATGTATGCATGTCTGGTCTTTAAGATAGCAATGTTCTCATGTCTTTCTGGAAATCCAACTCGTCTGAAGAACATTTATCCAACTGAGGACCACATTTAGTGAAAGGAGGACTAAGTGACGATAATTACTAACATTTTTATCTAATTAAGCTCAGATAACCCTAGGAAACTAAATATCTTACTAGTCCAAGGTTTATGTAACAGGAGAGGACATCAGAATAACAAAAACTTAGTAGGTTTCATGCATGTGGTGGGAAGAGAAGAAAGACGGTATATGAACAAAAACGAGGGATGACAATGGGTAGCTATATATCTATTATACTCTTCCTTAATCCTCATAAAACTCTAACTTCCTATTTATCCCAGTAGAATGACGAATAATGAACTATTCATCTGACTAAGTTTCCCCATTTCACCATTCCATCATTTCATTTGTCTAAATAGTAGATTCACATTGAGATTATAAGGAGAGAAGGCTCTTGTTGCCTATGTCAATCCCCACTATATATATATCTCTGCAGAGATCCAGTTTCTCTTTGAAAGCTGTTACTACTGAATCAGTCAAGGAGTTCCAGTCGTTGACCACTCTGTGTGAGATTCTAAACTCCAAACGTATTTTATTCGACCTCGGTTTGAGCACCTTCTTCTGGTGACCCCGTAAATGCATCCTAGAGGGAGAGAAAAGGTTTGAAGGGTCAATCCCCAAATCATCTTTGAATACACAGTAAGCCAAAATGAAGTCGCTTTTCCTCCTTCGGTATGATGATGGGAAGAGATTTGAATGCTCCGTCCTCATGTCGTAAGGAAGGTGTGAGATACCACTAACTAATTTCGTTCCTACCCTCCGTACTCTTTCTTTTTGAAACATGGACTTGCCGCTTGTATGCAGTACTGCAGATAAGGCCTGACTTATGATGCATAGACTACTTGAAACATGCACTCGTCTAATCGTTTGAAAGACCTTCGAAATGCCCATAGCATTCCAAAAGCCTTAGCTGTGGCTCGATTACAATATGCCGTTGTTTTTAAGTTACGGCTAATAATAATTTCCAAGTTCTTTTGTTCCCTAACATCCGGCAGTTCTGTCTCCCATGGAGTATGACGTATAAGACTTCTGACCTAGGTGCATTACCGCGCTTTTCTTGGAGTTAATTTCCAGACTCCAAATGTTAGCCCATTCGGCTAAGTTCTCTAGATCGTTTTGTAGTACCAACATATCATCGCTACCATTTACGGTTGTCCATATTTTAATATCGTCCGCAAACAGTAAGAAGAAGAGGTAAGGATTTTCGAAAATTCATTTACGTATAATGGGAATAGCAGTGGGCCAAGTACAGTTCCCTGTGGTACTCCACGTAGTACTGCTTTCCACCCTGACAGTACACCATTAACTCATACTTTGAGCCTCCTATCCATCAGGTAGTCACTAAATCATTCACATAAGCTCTGGTCTAATCCGAAATGTTTAAGCCTGCTGGTGTGATGTGGTATGGCTGTTGTGTGTTGTGCTTTTTGCCTTGCTTTTCCACTTTAGCTTAGTCCCCGTTGGCCCAGGTTCCCGCATTGGCAGTACAGATCGATGTTATCATCGCTATGGAAAAAACGATAGACATTTTCGCCGGGGAGTGTCAATGGATGTTAACATTGAAAGTTTTTATTTTTGGAACTGGTAGCTGTCAATGTAGTTGAAGATTGAACGATCAATTCATGGTTGTTTGCTCAAAACCAACTTCCCTATATTTTCGCGAAGACATCGATACACCAGTCATCGTCTCATCGGTCGCTGTTCAGAAAGAAGTCAGGCCAAAACTGTTAGAAGTAATATTGTGATTTATTACTGTAATATTTGTTCATAGACCTTAGTTTAAAGCTTAATTTTAAAGTTGGACATATGCTGGTGTTACAATAAAGAATTCTCGAGTAGCCAATCGGTTTTGCGTCCGTTATCACTAAGCGTTTCTGAGAAACTTCAAGGAATAGCGTAAGTCCCAGCGCAGCAAGAGCTGGGCATTGACGGTTTATGAGACGTGGCTGACAGTTTCTGACGGCGGAAACATTTTCTGACGGATTCAGACAGTTGGTGACAGTTTGGATAGTCACCATTCATCTTTCCTGGTGCCGGTCAAGTCCTCTTCGAACAAGCAATATCTGGAACTTTTTTGGAATTGGTTCAAGTTCAACAATGCCTGGGTCAAAGAAGGGACAGAGTGTCTTGGATGCAAACAGGAAAGTAAGTCATTGTGACTTGTCTGTTACTTGTGACGATGTGTCTGATGTTAAGCATGACATGGTTGATGTTATTGTTTCGCCGTTCAGGTATAACAGGAACATCAAACTCCCTAAATTTGAACCACGGTGTTTCGATGGAAACCCAGCTGATGATTTACAATTTGTGAAGGAGTTTGAGATCATGCTGAGTAGTTTTCTATCAAGTGATTAATTGGAGTTAATGTTTATTAGATAATATATATTTCTTCCTGTTTATGCAGGAACATACCAATTGTACAGGCATGGATAAGTTATTATATAAATTACACAAAATTTGATGTATAATGGATTTACAGTTTGGTTGTTCTTTCTGACATCAAAGTCAATCGGAACAGTCTGCTATAAAGTTTGTTTGTGTAGCACATAAAGAGATATAGAAATATTGTCTTCGCATTAACAAAAAACCCAGACATCAGATGAATGTAATACAGATATCTGGGAAAAATAAAGCTTGAAGTCAATTCTCCTATATAACTTTGTTGTAAACAGCACCCTTGGCTTTGAGTTTATTGATGTATTATGTTGAGATCAGTGATATATTTATTCCATTTTTTCAGTAGTCTTATCGTAGTTTTATAACAGGAAAGAAATTTGATCGTGGATACGAAAACTAGATAAGGTCATGTTGGGTTGTTTTACTGCATCAAGTGGTGCCGAGGTCGATTCCAGAATTCTCCATTTGCTCCATTTGTGTCTGCATGGCGGACTGTATTCGTAAGTTGAGTAAAATGTTGAAAACTATTTGAAGACCAGTTGCTTCTTCATTTCAGATCATGAATACTCATTTACAACATGTTCGCCAGCGTCTTCAAATGTGGAATAGGATTGTTCATGGAATTTGAGTGGTTATGAGATAGACGGTTTGGAATTAATCCTCATTTCAGTTTAGATGCAGGGTTGTTCGACCTCGACCAGAAGATGAATAGGAGCAGCAAAATACCAGAAAGAGAGAAAGTATGTGAACATGAAAAGGACATTTGTATTTGATGAGGTATTGCACTGGAGATGCTTCAAGAGCTATACAGTGCTATAAGTTTATGAAGCCAAAAGAGGGCTACTACGAGGCTATGAGCACACTACGTCAAAGGTTTGGAAGACCTTCGATGATTGTAGGGAAATTATTCGAGGCTGTTAAGGGTAATGGTGGTCAATTACAGGATGACTCCCAGGCACTCACTGAGTTTTTAGATAATTTGCTAATTTACAAGAATGCATTGATTTCGATGAATCGCATGAGTGACCTCAACTCGAGTTTTATACTAGAAGTAATAGCAAGACGCCTACCTACTCGACTGCAAAGGAAGTGGGTGAAGATAAGCTCCCGTATGGAGGATGAGGGTATCGAGCCAAAGTTTGATGATATCCTGAAACTGGTAAACAATAGTGTCAATCAATCTATGAGCAAGTTTGCCAGTATATTACATCTCACCCCTAGAATAGAGGTCTGAGATCAAAATGCAATCATTGATGACGAGTAGGCCTCAGAGAGGTGGATATCGAGAAGGCTCCATGATGTCTAGTAATGCATATAGACCTAGTGAGTGTAACAGGTTTCGTAGTACATCCTCAACAGATAAGTTACAAGATGCAAGACAAACACGGTTGTGTTTACACGTTTGCAAGAAGTGCATACAGAAGTGAACTGTGAACCAGTGAGCAAGTTCAGTGATAAGCTAAATGTAAACTCCAGGCCTGACTCCGAATTGTGTGACGATAACGGTGCGATGAAGAAGTCTGTAGTTGCAACTGGTAAGCCATTGTTGAATAGAGTGTCACAGAATAGAGTTGCTGCTTCAGAGTGCAGTTCTGACCCTACAAGTTTACAAGGTATTACTAGTCAGAGTGAAGTTATAAAACCTTTTAGGATTTGTGAGGAGGAACCAAAATTGTCTACTGCTGTTAACAAAGAGTTTGAAAATGATGAACTTGACGGTAAATTGAATATTCATGATACTTCACATTTGTCTTTGGTTGATCATGATGAAATGAGGGGAATGCCTACTACTGCTAAGTTAAATAAAGTTTCTGTACAACTTGAACGTGAAGTAGAAATAAATGCAGATGCAGTTGCAGAAGGTATGCATACTTGTGAGACCGTCAGTGTAATTGATCAGAGTGTAGCCCACCTATCATCAGATGCTAGTGCTAAACCTGAGCTGATAGTAAAAGACAGCAGTGGTGGTGGTCTTGCAGGTAGACAACTTTCTGAAAGTCGAGCAACAACAGCTTTTGATCCACCGCTAACTTCATCAACTGATATCAATCAGTCGTCGTTGGTGCTGTCATCCACAATGAAACAGACGCCCATCAACTCAAGTATCTTGTGCAATGACTATGCTAGTATCAGTTCGTTTGAAAGGACGAATATCAATGGTCAGTTTAGTGAGGATAAGCCAAGTGTAAACGAGAGAGTAATTGTTAAATTGACTTGCACGAATAAAGGCATTTCTAGTTTCAAGTTACTATTTGAATGCTATCATCTTTGGTGTAAATTACTCTGTTTCTACGCTTGGTTGACCAGATACTTCGTGTGTTTGTTCGTCATCTATGTTCTACGATACAATGACATGGGCGTGTTACCGTTCAGATTTGAGGATATAGCTGATAGAAGG